TATATATATATATATATATATATATATCTATATAAGTAAAAATATTTCAAATTGCATATATTAAAAAAATTAATTAAGTTTATTTATTTTTATGATTTTATGTGAAAATTAAAGTTTAATTTTTAAATTACTTTTAAAAATGTTTATTAAAAATAATTATTATATGTAATTTAAAGGTATTATTTTTTGAATGATAACATTAAATAGAGTTAAATTGAAAAAAAAAATATTGTTTTTTGTTATACAGGAGTTTAGAAGAAGTACTTACTCCCTCCGTTTTTTTTTCATAGTCGTTTTGTCAGAGTTTGTTATTTTTTTTTTCATTGTCATATTACTAAAATTAATAAGTTATTAATTTTCTTCTTCCATTTTTACCCTTGATAATTAATACATGTTTCCTGAAAAATGTGTGTATTTATTTTTAATATCTACCTAATTTTTCTCTAACTACTCATATAAAGTTAATGTGCATTTATAAGAGCAATATGTTCCCAACAAAATACTATAAAAAAACAAAAAAAGTGACAACTATTTAATGGAGTAGTTCAACAGTCTAAAAAATGTAAAAAAAAAAGAAAGGTAAAATAGGAAAGTAAGTAATAAATATTTTTAAAAACTAAAATATCAATGATTTCCTTAATTCTCGTACAAAACCTTAAACGACTATGAAAAAAAAACGGAAGGAGTAAGAAATTTCCATTTTGGTTAAATGAGTATAATTATGCATCAACCACTCTTTGATTATGATTTAATTTGGGGGAATTTGGTGGTCTTGGCATTTATTCGAAGCAGAATCACGTTTCCAGGCCACTGCTTACCAACTTTTCACTTTGACACTGAAAGAGACAGTCACACTCTAAAACACGCATACGTTCGTAGAGAGAGAAACCAAAAATGGAGAGAAAGACGCTTCTCGTCTGTTGCCTTGTTGCATTCTTGGGCCTGTTGGCGGCTGCAACTAGCTTCGCTGCTGAAGCCACAAGGATTAAGGTTTCTGTTTTTTTTTTTTTTTTTTTTTTTTTTTTTTGCTTTCCTCGAATACCCACCAACGAAAGGATCAATCTTTTGCTCTGTTTATCGTTTAATGTTTATAGGGTCTAGTACTTGTGGTTCGCATGGTTGAGGGTACTCTTTATTCTATGAAAAGTGTTCAATTTTTCTCATGGTTAAGCGTTTATGATATACGTTTGAGAAATTACATCGATCCCCTACTTTTTTCTTTCATGATTCCACTGTTCGTCTTCAAGATTTTGCTTTACCATCCTTTATGTTCATCAACCTTTCCCTTTTACTTGTTGTCTATCGTGATAGTCCGAAATCCTTTGATTTCTTTCTACCAATTTGGAGCAGATAGGTTCTGCAAAATGGACATGAAGTCAGATTCAGGCTAGGAAAATGAATAACAATTTCATTCACGTAATATAATTTATATATTCAGAAGTGTTTGTTTATTATATAAGTTTTAGACTTTTAGTTATATAAAGCAAATATTTTTTGTGTGCTTTCACATGCAACAATACTAGTTCCCCTAAAGCTGTTGTGATAAGTATCACTCTATAACTTGTGCAGGGTTCTCAAGTTCATTTTGTTACACCGAATCAGTGCACGTATCCTCGAAGTCCAGCTCTATCTCTTGGTTTAACTGCAGCACTGGCTCTTATGCTATCTCAAATAGTCATAAATGTTGCAACTGGGTGTGTTTGTTGCAGAAAAAGTTCTCAAATTCCAGATTCCAATTGGAAGGTGGCACTGGTCTGCTTTGTTTTGTCCTGGTAATTTTTGGCTTTGTGCTTTTGTTTGTCGTATTTCTGTTTGACTATGCTAGTGTAGCCTATCAGAATCAGATAGTTATCCTAATGGGGTGGACTTGAAAACTGGTATCAGCTTGTAGATTACTGGTGCTGCCATTCTTCTAAAGAGGAATTGGCTTTAAACAAAGCAGACCTGAATTTATAGGCAGCAAAAAAGGATCTGGATTATTCATTTTGGAGGGTAGTATATTTGAAGTAAATTGTGGAGTACATGCCATTGGCATTTCTTATGCATTATTGCTTGTATTCCTTTGTGATTTGACATTTATTTTATTTTATTTGCAATGTACTATGGAAGGCACATGGGAGTGGGATAACACGTTTTGATATCAAAGATTGGACTGGATGAGAAGCAACTTGAACTTTGAGATCTCTTCTTTCAAGAAGAGGTGTAATGAATATATGTTACTTAATTGTGAATAAAAACCAACTACCAAGTTAGTAGAGTGAGTGTTGATATTAGTAAGGTCTAACTATCACATAATTCTAGTAAAACATAAGTAAATTGGTTTAATTGCACTTTTTTTGTCAGCGAATTTTGCCACTAAACTTTTTAATTTACACATTGTCACCTAATTTTGAAAATTTTACATATTTTCTCATCTCATTAATTAATTGTTTGACGTCATTAATTGATTGTTAATGTGACACATTTATCGATGTGACATGTTTAACATAAATCAATGATGTGTCATATGAATAATGACATAAAATAATGTGTCACATTAACAATTATTCTATCATGTCAATAGTTAATTAACAATGTCAAATGGTCATCTAAAGGAGTAATAAAATGTGTGAAATTATGAAAGTTGTAACAAAATGTACAAATTCAAAAATTAGGTAACAAAATTCATAAAATTGTAAAATGAGTAGTAAAAGGTGTAATCAGGCCAAGTAAATTAGTGAATTTTGAGGTACAAGATAATAAAAATTATTCTTTGAATGTATATTGGTTATGGGAACATTATATTGTTCATGTTATTATTTTATGGTTAAAATACTTTTAGTCTTTATAGTTTCATTTATTTTACCTTTTAGTCCTATAGTTTAAAATAGTTATTTTTAGTTCTCATATTTATTTTTTTCGATCCTTTTTAATTCTTATAGTTTTAGATAGATCATTTTAGTCTTTGTACTTGCATTTTTTTAAAATCTTTTTTAGTCCCTATTGTAATTTTTTTAACAGTGTCTATTTTGTATTGATATGGTAGAGATTTTTAATTTCGTGAGTAAAAAAAAGATGTCTAAATAATGAATGTTACAAGTGAGGATATTAAAGTGAAACGAAATAAATTTGAGTCTTTGAAACTTAACTTGTGTCTGATGCATCATAGAGTACTTCTATGTTTATTTCAGAACAGTGAGATAATGATCTCGTGTACACTTGAGGTAAAAACCACACGCTTTTGTAATATAAATATTTAAGGATGTGCTTTCATGTTTACTAGGATTGGAAACCTTGAATACCGGTTCTTGGATTGAAAATTATACTCCTTGTTTATGTGTTTGGAATCTCTGTTCAAACAGGTTCACATTTGTAATCGCTTTTCTGCTGTTGTTAACCGGCGCTGCGCTGAATGATCAACGTGGTGAAGAGAGTGTGTACTTCGGCTACTACTACTGCTATGTTGTGAAACCTGGAGTTTTTGCAGGGGGTGCAATTTTATCCATTGCAAGTGTTGCATTTGGAATTGTTTATTACATTTCCTTAACCAAAGGAAAGAATGGTGGCCAATACCCATATCCTAATCAAGGGGTCATAGCCATGGCACAACCACAAATTCCACCATCATCGGAGTCTGGTCAAGAACCTGTCTTTGTGCATGAAGACACATACATGAGGCGACAATTCACATGATTGGTTTTGAATTTTACTCTTAGGAAGCAGTGTTTGTTTGTGCATATGCGTCACTTTTTATGAGGTAGTTATGGCTTTTGCCTTGTTTATAATTGGGTTGTTCCAGACAATAGAATATTAAGATGTTAGACTCTGGTAGAAGATGCATGTGGAGTTAGATTTGGATATTATCTAAAAGTATTTCAAAGGTATGCAAATACTAAATGATAGACTAAGAAATTTTGATTAGAAAAGCATATCAATGTTCTGAGTTCACATGGTACAAGTCAACATAAAGATAAACAATGGGTCATGTTTTATGGTGCAGCGGTAAAATAAAGACACCATTTATGTATACTAATATATAAATAGAATATTTCTTTTTATAACTTTTTTTTATACTTTTAATTTGATCATTAAATCTCTTCAATTGTTTAGAAAAAATTATAAAATTAAGAGTTTTTAATGTGTTTTTTCACACAATTATTTTCGATAACTATCCACTTCACCATTTCTTCTCTTGTTTCATTTTTTAAAAATTTCAACAAATTATTAACTTCTTCACACTGATTCATAATTACTAACTATTCACTTAATTATTTCTTTTTTAAATTTTTATTTTTTTAAAAATAGTTAAGAGGTACAAAGTGTCTCGTTATAGATAATTGTAATATTTAACCACTATAACCATTCAAATTTACATTAGGGAAATTTAGTAAAATTTGTCAAACGTAAAATTTGACCAACTCGATTGACATCCTCAAAGACATTATTTTAACACCATCTCATTGTATTTTGTGCTGGTAGAATCATTCTTAAAGGGCGGTTGGAGATAGGTACAGTGCAAAGATTAAAATGCTATTCTTTGTTTATTTAATAGTCATTTAAGGTTGATATACACAAATAAAAAAATTGTAATAATTTTTTTTATTTATTTTTCATACAATGATTTTGATGTTTCTTATTACACTCTTCCATTTTTCTCTATACTTAATACATATTAGTTGTTAATATTTAAATTAATTAAAAATTAAGTGAAATATAAATATATAATTAAAAATAATAATTGATATAGTCTTGAACTTTCAAAATGACATAAATAGAAACAAAATTTTATTAAAAGACAGACAAGTTAAAAAAGAGAAAGGAGGGAATAAATAATATTAATGGCTTACAAAATCAATATAACACATTTAATATACTACCTCTAATTTTGTGTATAAAAAACAAGTTAGAGTATTATTTTAGTTCCAATTATAAGATACATCAGTCACTTAAATATAATAGTTAATATTTTTATACTCAATTTATTATAAGTTTATTAATGAGTCATCTACTCATTTCTCATGAAAGTGGATATATTATAAAATCAATTTGTTTAGAATCAAAAAAATATATACATTTCTAAAAAAGTGCATTTATAAAAATAATTCTTTAAGAAACAAATAATATTTTTTAAAATAAAAAAAATTATAATAAAGAAATAATTTAGACAAACACATCAAAAAGTAAAATATTTCTTATTTTTATTAAAAAACACTTTTTAAAAATAAAAAATTAAACAAAGGAATTCATTAGACTATTAATAACATAAGTCATACTTATTAGTTGAAAAAAAAAAATACTTTTTGATTTATAAAAAGTATCATCAAATATAATTACCACTACCAACAAGTCATTGGTACGTGTGGTACTCCTTAAGTTAGATCTCTCGAATTCAAGTATAGTGTATGAAAAAAAAAATGATTTTAAAAAAAGATCTCACTAAAGATAGACTACCTAAGTTTTTCAACAGAAATTAATCATCAACAAGATTAATAGATATTCATAGCAATAATAGAGTTAAAAAAATAAGTACCACTATTTAATTCTATAAGTATTTTGTAAATAAAACTTCAAATTATAACATTATTAATTAAAATTAACTATTTTTTGTTCACATTGATGAATTATGTATGTATTTCTTATAAAACTAAATTAGTACAAAACAAGTAGCTCAAGATAAGTGAATGTGGATGTCGAGTCAGTTTTCAAATGTGAAAAAGCTAGTTCTTTGTGACGGAATTTATGTACCAAGTAAGAATCTTCTATATATAAACTAAAATAACTATCTTAAACTAGTGTTTTTGTTTTTGGGGTCATTATTCAACTATAATGATTTTGGCTATTTTTCTCTAATAAAAATGTTTTTAAATTTTTTATTAACATTTTATATCTTTTGATCTATTATTTTTACTTTTATTTGTAAATTAGATTTTAATAATTTAAAAAATATCAATAATAAAAAAATAATTTTACACCACTATAAATTATTCATTATAAATCTAAAATATAATTCATATATTTAAAAATACTTAATTTTTATACATATTAATTAGATAATAAAAAAAATCTTCTACACGTTAAAATACTAGTTACAACTATTCATTAATGCTTTTATAAGTTTATTCTTATAGAGGCGGAGTTAACTGAAATTTCAGCATCACGAAAAGTTCTTCATTGGATAGCTCCTAAACTCAGATTACTTGCTTGAAAACATTATTTGCGAGAAAATGGTAACAGCTCTGTCAATCAATTTGTCACGTCATCACATCACAATGGTGAATAAGACATCAATTAATACTTTCATAATGATTGTTCATTTCTTGGTGAACAACGGCATTAACCACTTCACCAGCATTCAAACCAGTTCAAAATAAAACTAAGAGCATGATTGGTTTCATTTTTAGATATTTCAAAACGGGTGTTTACACATTCCATTCCAATGTTCCAATGACAGAGTAACTACCTATGAATTTAAAAAAAAAACGTGAGCTACTTGAATCCAAGGTTTTTCCAAACACACACTAAGAAAAGAGTGCAAGAACTAAAAAAGCATCTTAATCTACTTTTACCCAATAAAGCAATAACATAGAGCATAAAAAAATAAAAAAAATAAAAAAAGCAATAACATAGGATAAAAAGGAATCAACAGTTAAAATTTTAATTATTACATGAATAAATGGATCCACTACCAGCTATCAAGAGTATGGGAACGGAGTCAACATTGGTATTAGCTTAGAACACCTTCAATTTTAAAAATTACTTGGTAGAGAATGCCTTCAGGGACTACGCTGGCAGTAGATAACCAGATCAAATCAATTTTACTCTTCGGCAACAAGGAAGGGTAGTCCCCTAACATTCCAAATTAAAAAAAAAAAAAAAAAAATCAATGGCAATTACAATTTTCTGACTGTTTGGCAAGTCAGAACAAGAGAAATGGACTAACAATAAATTGCAAGGAAGAAGGTGCATATATTCCTAGGTCATAACTCATAAGGTGATCCTTTTCTAAAAACTTTATTTACATAAAATACAGTCCAAACAGCTTACCAGCCTCCGTGTCTTGACTCTTGAGAAGTAGTCGTTATCTAGTGATATAGCAAGAGCTACGGTTACAGCTCTCTCCGCAAGTGTCAGTGAGCGATTGACTTCCAGGTCTTCAATCTGCAGAAAGAACATCATATCAAAAAAGAAGAGGAGAAGAGTGAAGTTTCTAGAGAAAAGGGGGGGCGAGGGGAACTTTACTGCAGAAGCAAGGCCAATCTTGGAGCTGGGATCAGAACACCCAAATCGAATCACATACTGACCAGCATCAGTCAAAATCTGCACATTTCAGTAAATGAATAATTCAGTTCAGGTTTGAATTCCAAAACAACGCCCAAAATATCTAAAGAACTAAAAATGATATTCCTCGGTTCAATTCTGATAAATGACTCCATAATAACAGTTAGACAACTTGACGTTCGATAGGAGGCATAAGTTTCAATCTTAGCACTTGAGTCAGGAAGACAAAACAAGAGGCAAGGACAACTGTACACAGTCAATAAAGGGCCGGTCAACTGGTTAAAAATTGGAGGGAGAACCCTTAATTATAATATAGATAAATAAATATAATTTTGATCATTCTATTGTTTCAACTTTCAATTGAAACTTTAAACATGTGCTTGATATCATTATTTGTCAGTTGCCTAGTGCAAATAGACATAGATAACTTAGCAATGTGGTTGACTACGATAAATATCCTAACCTTGCAATAGATATTTGAAAAAGAAAAATTTACTTAGAATGTTTAAAAATAACAGGCTAAGAAATGATAAAAGAGAAAAATAGCAATAAATTATTAGCACGTTTAACAAAGGTAACAAAAAGAAAAAGGTAAATGCCAAACACCAACCTCAAAGCCAAAACCCCTCCAATCACGATCTATTTGAGCAAGCACCTCACCATTAATATCTTTCAATGTGAATGTCCAATTCCATAAGCCAGGATTCTCTACCACAGCAAATTGCTTATTCCTGCAAATCTTATTCTTAGACTTGCATTTTGTACAAAAGACAAATGCTATGCATTTTCAAATTTGAGCTTCTGACCAAAAGTGAATTCAATGAAAACCAATAAAATAGGCCAGCAGAATACATGAACACATGTTCAAATAAATGTTTATATACAGCATTATTATTGATGAACCCATTGCACACATCAATAAAGATGCAGAATGAATCAAACTTGTATCAGGGAGAAACTTAGACCATGTAACCAAAGAGAAAAAAATAATAATAATTACTTGATGATGCATGAACTCAAATCTAAAGACGTGTTCTGTCTTTATTAAATAGATGCAACAAAGGGTAAAATGAAAGCAAAAAAGAAAAGGCTTAGATGAGGATGAAGAGCAAAAAAACCAACTAGATCTAGAATAAAATGCTATAAGGTTGCCCACTTGCCCCTGCTTAATTAGAAGACGTATGGAAAAAGCACCCATATGACCAGTGAAAACTCTAAGTATGCAGCCCCCATGGCTAAAAGTTTCTACACCATTGGACAGGTTATGTGTCAGAGAAATTAACTATAGTAATAGGAGGAGTGCTAGGGACACACATTCTACCATTAGTTAAAATTTATTTAAAACTACAAAATCAGGAGACTCATTCAATGAGAAGTTGAACGAATAAAAATTTGTGATATCTAATAAATTTCGATCAATAATAAATAATGTGTTAAAAAAAAGTGTATTGTTAGCATTTCTCTAGTTATTGAGATGGTAAGATGGATACATAATGGCAGGATTCAACCATAGATTATTACTATTGCATCTTTTCTGGAATAGAATCATCTTTTAAACTTCCTTGTGGATTATATGTGATTATATATGGAATATGGATTCCTTCTGTGGGGGGTAGGGGGTGTTCATCCAATGGGATTGGAGAGCTCTCTCCACCCAAACTTTATTTTCTTCCATTTTTTATTCTAGTATTTCCACTGTTTCAAATCAATTCCTATCATGCACTCTGTTATAATGAAATTATTTTTCCCCTTCCGAAAATAAAAAGGACAACAAATGACCAACTATTTGCAAAAATATTGGCAAATAGACAACATGATTATTGTCTTCACTTAAGTGAATAAATTACAAACAGATAACAGATAATTAGTTATGTAAGTGTACATTTTGGCACCAAAAAATTAAGTTCTCTTGGAAGAAACTGGAATATAAATTCATCCTGAATACCCACAGAAAAGTCAAAAAGCATATCAAATACAATGGAAAGCTGCTACAGAAAAAAAAAAATCAAAACTACATAAATTAAATAATAATACAGCTCATATGTATTACTTCCTCTATCAACAGTTAAATAACTTATCATTTTTCTTGGCCAGAAATTCCTTATTGAATCCAATGAGCATATAAGTAACACACAATGATAATAAAAGTCAAACTTTGGTGGTAAAGGAGTTTATTGATCGAAACTCGAAAGAAGTTGATACAATAAACAACTAATTCACACAGATATTGTATACATTAACTCTCCCACCGTTGGATGCTTCTGTTATTTGCCTATGATTTCATTATTTAGGAAAATATGTTATATTATAAGACTCCAGCTTATAAAAGAATTGAATAATGCACACACATTTTGGCTAAAAACACATTTTTTTTTTCAAATGAAATATTCAGATGTGAAAAGATAACAGAAGAGAGCAAAGGATGTTATGATTTTTACAATTAGTTATAACAAATAAACTCAAAACATAGTATATTGATATTACCCCAGGTACAAATCGTAGATTCTCCTCCAGAGATGCCATCGCCTGTGAACTACTCCAACTTCCTGAAGAGAGAACTTGACACAATTAACAAACAAAGTGATGATAAACAGCTTAATAATGTAAAACAATCTACAAAATTTATCCAAAATGGCATACCTTACCATCAATTTCTGCAAAAATTGAGCTTGTTATCCACCAAAAGGGTCTGCGAACCTAACAATTATAGATATTGGATTTATTTCACTAAGCTGAATAGAAATCACATTTTAACATGCATAAAAAAAAAAACCAACAGAAAATATATTTTCCTTACCCTAAAGAGCTCATTCCCCAAGGCATCAGTTATGTATGCAACAAAAGGCCGCCTTAGACGGAGTAACTGCCACAAGAAAGGTTGAACAAAATTCATAGCACAAACAAAATTTAAATATATTTTTTTTAAATCATAATACATATATCAAAAGCACAGACAATGCTGAAAAATCAAATCAAGAAACATAGCATAAGTCACATATGCATCCCTTGTAGAATTAATCAATGAATTACACATTTCAGGCCTTGACTAATGCACAACGTGCCCAAATCTGAACTACTACTCAATTTTAGATGTATTCCCCTATTTAGACAGACAAATAACTTAATAATAGACACCATGTCAATGACACCCATGTAAAAGTTAGCAAATAAGATGGCCCTTTCATAATCCAAAACCTAGATTAGACAAGTTAAAAGGATATTTCATTCTAAATAATTGTAAGATATGATTCAAACTATTCATGTTACAATATGGAATAAGTGCTAACAACAATCAGTAGTAATAAGATATTTGGTGTACTGATATTTACATATGGTGTGTCTTTCCTCATAAATAGTCCATGGTTGTTAAATCTGATTTAGGAATGAAGATTTTTTAATGAGATCTAGACTGGGAGGTGAATTTGGCAAGTCATTCAGATAGATTTACGGAATGCCCATTTCCCTTGGGAATGTTTTGGGATATCTATTGTATTTTGGGAATCCATATGACACACTACTAAGGTTTTGAAGGAAATGACTGACTCTGGAGATGTGGCAAAAAAAAAAAAATTATATCCTCGTTGATGTCATTTTTTTCCCTTCATGATGATGATTAAACTAGACTTGTCGCCCTGTATTGTGGATGATACATGAAACACTGAAGAATAAAACAATCAAGGGAAGTCAAAATCAAATGGTTAAATTGAATACCTGTCTGGTAATGACGTTGCTCTGTTCACGAATAAAACCTACAGGCTGCATCATGGCAGCAAGTAACAAAAAAGTTCAACCATCATTATGATGAGCTATGTAACGAAAATACATGCGGATGGGATAACTGAGAAATAAAAAGGAGATAATATTTGTCACTGACCGACTGAGGGTAGCACGCATCTACAATGGCATAACGATTTTCCTTTAATCCAACCAAACAAAATCACAAAATCAGACATAAAAGGGGCAAAAAGGCAACAAAAAAATTCTTAGAAGATGCAAGAGTAATAATGTGCCACAGCCTCAACATACAAAGTCTCCATTATACATAACATAAGAAGGATAAAGTGAAATGGACAGTGACTGTTTAAGAAGCTAAAGCTGGTTAAATATAGGTAAAGAAACCACACTTAAAGATGATCACCTGTTCAAATCCTAATACAAGATTTGCCCACTCGATATCTCTGGTAATTAGCAAGTTGGACCTGGCAAGCAGCGGTGCTACCTTGGCCTGATTAAGAAAGGGAAAGTAGACAACAATTCAGTAAACAAAAAGACTTATATAAATTTCAAAACAATTGAAAAGTTTGAAAATTTTATGATACAGTGATTGGAAGAAGTACCTCTTGGGGAGAGTGTGGATCGAAAAAGTCAGTGACAGATTGACTGATAGGGGGTTGCTTCAAAACGGCACGTCGTTTACCGCTCCTGGCGACACCAGACGAAGCGGAAAACCACCTCGGGTCACCGTGTTTACCTAATTTCCTCCCTCTGAGGTTTCTCATTTTTTTATCATCAACCCAAAGCTTTGCGAGGAAATCCCTCGTCAACTGATAATGAGGATCGACGCTAACCGCACTTCCGAATCCACGAGTTACGATCACGGGATTACATTCATTGTTTCCGGAAAAATCAACAGCAATCTTTGACAGCCACCTCCAACCCTCCTTCGACCAATTCTTCATCTTCCGTCACCAAGTATTGATACTGAAACTACAATTAACCAATGAAGAGAGGGAAAAGTATAATAACCGCACATCGAGTTGTTGATTATCGTTAGTTACCTGTTACGCATAAAACAAACAGGTTGTGTCGTGCGTTTTGAATCGCCTCTGATTCTCTTCTCTGCTCTTCAAAACACGATCACCTGATTCATCCCGACCATCATCCAATCATATATTTAGGGCACCATTAAATAAATTTATTTAAGCTAAAAACCTATTTTGGTCTCTTATAATAATTGTTTGTTTCAATTTAGTCTTATTTTTATTTTTGTCTCAATATGATACCTAATAAATTAATTGGTCTCAATTTGGTCCCTAATAAATTAATTGGTTTTAATTTGGGACTTCCGTCTAAATTATTTAAACGGAGTTAACTGTGCGGCCACGTGGATGCCACGTAGATGCATAGGTGGATGCCACGTGGATGCCAAGTTTTTTGAAAACACCTGGAACCAGAACGGCCCGTTCTGAAACCATAACGGGCCGTTCTGATTACACTTTTGGTGTATTAATTTTGCATCCGGAACGGCCCGTTCTAGGTGTAAAATTTACACACTAAAAGTGCAATCAGAACGGGCCGTTCTGGTTCCGGACAACTAAGCATAAACGATCAATAATTATAGTTCATGGTTGTGAATCATTGAAGGAAAAAGACTAAGGTACAAAGCATTTTAAACACTGAATTTGGTAATATTTTCAATAGAAATTGATAACTTCAATTGCTAAACAGTTAGACTATACCGTGTATTATTAAGGACAATGCAATGTATCACTAAAGACAATAGTAACAGATTTTATTTCATTTGAAACTGAAGTGAACCACTTACTACCAAATTAACACTATACAGTAAAGGATGAAATGATATAGTATTTTTTCTTGAAGTTATTAACGATGTACTCCAACAACAACAACCTGTTTTTAAAGAGGTAGAACCTGAAGTAAATGAAGAGGATACACAAGACTAACATTTCTCCATAACCATATGCTGGGACAGATCTAAGTTAATCATAGTGAGGGCACTTGCCCCCACTAATTTTTTTTCATTATTTTTTTATATATAAAATATTAATAATTTTATAAAATATATATTATTAATTATATTTTAATTATGTTGTTATATCTAATATAATAAAT